GAGAAAATATTTGCAATAAATATATCTGACAGAGGACTTGTGTCCAGAATATGGAGATAATTCCTACAAGTCAACAAGGAAACCCAGTTTTTAAAATAGGCATGTCTCGAGCAGACACTTCAGATAGGAAGATATAAAAGTAGTCAATAAGCATATGAAAAATGTGCAAGATCATTAGTCATCAGGAAAATACAAGTGACATCAAGAAAAGCCACAGTGATATACTACTACACTCTAGAATTGTCAAGTTTAAAAAAAACTGGAAAGTCCAACTTTTAGTAGATATTGGAGCAACTAGAATTTTCCTGCATTACTGTTGGAATGCAAAATGGTACAGTCCCTTTGGAATACAGTTGGCAGTTATTTATAAAGTGAAGCATTTACTCACCATTTACCCAGCAATCCCAAGTGTAAGTTTGAAAAAAGGACTTCTAGAATATGTTTATAGCAGCTTTATATATAAACAGCCCCAAACTGGAAATAGCCCAAATATCCATTAATAGAAAAATGGATAAACAAATTCCAGTATATACATACAATAAAATATTACTTGACAATAAAAATGTTAAATCATGGATGAATCTCAAAAACATGATACAATACCATGAGAACCTATTTTGTTTTAAAGATTTTATTTTTCAGAGAGAGGGAAGGAAGGGAGAAAGAGAGGGAGCGACACACCAACGTGGGAGAGAAGCACCAATTGGCTGCCTTTCGCATCACCTCTAACCGGGGACCTGGCCTGCAACCCAGGCATGTCCCCTGACTGGGAATTTAACCAGTGACCTTTTGGTTTGCAAGACAACACCCAACCCCCTCAGCCACATCAGTCAGGGTATAGAATCTATTATCTTAATAAAAATTTCAATTAAAATGTGAAGCAAAAGAAGTCAGAAATAGAAGAGTACATACTGTATGTTATTTCATTTATACGAAGTTTTTAAAAAGACAAAGTAATTTATGTTGAAAAATATCAGAACACTACAGCCCCAGGATAGAAGGGAGTTGACAACGATGTGGCACTAGGGGACTTTCTGGGAAGTTGTTCTACTTCTTGATTGGCATGTTGGTTATACAGGTCTATGCATTGTCAAAACTCATAAAACTGTACACTTGAAATTTGTACATTCTACTGTATGTAAATTATACTTTAATTAAAAAGAAAGAGATGTTTACATCTCTCTCGAATTTGCAAGTTAGATTTTATTTTCATTAACTCCATACAAGACGCAGCTTTTTATGTGGGAAGGCTTATAGAAGAAATTTATAGATTTGGAAGTCAATTTCCCTTCTGCCCTTTGCTTGTCTTTCCCTTCCTCCTTCGTTCTGAAAACCACAGGGATGTGAGAGAAAGTGGGTGACCATTGCAAGCAACGGTGTAGCTGAAAACTTGTATCACGATGTTCTGTCACTTGCACCTTGTGCAGGCCTATTATTTGAATGTGTGACTCTAGAAATGGTTGCTATGGTGATAAACCACTTTACTTAAATAGCATATATTTTACTCAAAATTCAGAGAAGTGGTAGCAGTTTCTAGTAATCATGCACTGGTATTAGCTTTCAGGGATAAGCCAAGAGCTTACAGGTTTTGCATCCATTATCACCAGATGAGTTCATCAGGTTAAAGTTATGCCAGTGAATAATGAAATATGTACATTTAGCCCAGTTCTCTTGTTATATATCTCCCCTTGCACACATGATGCCCCTTTTCAAGAAAGGTAGTGTGAGCTGGAGAAATCAGGCCAAGGGTGCTGAATTACTAAAAGATGGAATTGAAGGGAACCTTGTAAGGTCATCTTTTCCATCATTCTGCCTCCAGTAGACCTGACTGTCCTTCATCAGTCCCACGTGGCGAGGCTCTGTCAGAGGGAGGCGGGACGGGATGCTGCTTGGGGCGGCCCCCGGCGGAGCCGTCCTGCCGGCAGCACTCCGAGATGCTGTCCAGCTCCAGTGCTGAAATCTTCTGCAATTATGGATTGTGATTATACAGGTCCTCCAATTCTTCAAATTTTTTAGACTGAAGAACTCTCTTAAAGAGAAACCTCCACCCATTAATCACGTTAGTAGCCTGTCTGTAAACCTTCTTGGTCTCTTCATTCTGTTTGAGCTGGTTGCAGTGTTTTGGGTATGAATTCTCCATTATTTTATATAAGGATAGAAGATTTTTTTTTTTATTTCAAAGATGCTTGCTGATGATAGCCAGGTTCCCTTGGTCACTGGGCAGTAATATCCCAGTATCTTCAGAGAATAGTCTATAGTGATTTTTATTGTAAATCCTCTTTTTTGGATTGATGATGGCCAACGGTCTCGTAATGATCATTTAGACTCTCCCCTTAGAACTGAGTGTTGATGTTCCTCTCTCATCTTTCTCCCCCTTTGTACAACCTTATGGGAGCCCATCACCTGCCATTTGTCTTTCATGACCTGGAAGATCTTAGCAACTCCTGTACCCTTGGCAGTTTCACTTTTCCTTTTTCTGTCTATTACTCATAAAACGGTCAAATTGTATCAGTGACAGATTTCTGAGCAATTCCATCAACTATGAGAACAGAAGAAGAGAAAGCTACAATTTAGATAATCTATAACCTAAAATCCGTATCCCTGATAAGTTAGGATTTGTTCATGTTTCCAGAGAGAAGCCTAGAAACTAGAATTTGCCTTGGCTGTTCATGTTCCAAGGAGATGAGAGACTTGCCTTGTGGTGGAGAACGTTACAGCTCCCCCTGGAGGGCCGCATAGGGACCAGCCTGCGTCCATGTTTTGTTGGCACTGGAGGACGGTCTCAACGAGCGGAAATTTAAGACGGGGGAGACTCAGTCTGTAGGAAAGCTCTCATGATTCTGCTTCCTAACTGCAAATTAGCAAAGCGAAATGGTCAAGTATACACACATATAATATTTAACAAGATGCACACACATGCACAGAAGCTTGTTAAGTGATAAACATTTACATAAAGGTAAGTAGGTTTGCACTGATATTGCTGGGGAGCCGAGGAACAAGTACTGTGATTTGTTTCAGTGTATCCAGTTTGAGGCTGATTTGGGAGCTTAACGAAAATATGGTTGACACTATCAGTTTTAACATGTATTAAGTACCAGACTGAAAACAAAATAAGAAAACAGGCACTTGTATGTTGCTGGTAAAAGCATTAGTGTAATGACTGAAGTACATTAATTAACAAAAGGAAGCATGAAGAAGAATGGAAACATTAAAGCAGATAGGAATATGAATGCATTAAAAAAAATGACTGAGTCTCTATTCCTGTTCTCCAGCATATTAGCTGTGGTAGACATGTTGAAAAACATTTCCTGAACGTCTCAGATGATAACTCAAGAGGTGGAAATGTCAAAAGAGAGAGGGTTACACTTAAATTCACCTTTTAATAGGATTTGTATGTCAAGTGAATTAAGGTTTTATGAATTGAAATTTCCATGATAGATTTCATGTCTTCAGGACCAGGACTTCACTAGACAAAGCAGCTTACCTTCAGCCAGACACTGGAACATCTGGGTGTTGTTCTCATACCCTGCTGCTGAACAGAGGAGTTTTCAGGGAGAGGAATTACTACATTACTGAATGCTAATGCACTCTAAGTATTTTCTGTTTCTTGAAAGACTATACAGAGAAGCAACCTAGAAATTTTCTTAGGCAAAAAAAATCTGTGAAGAAAGGACCTGTTTACATTTCCAAATTAATACAAACTAAGTTTTCAATGAACAAACTTACCAGCTCAAGAATCGGCATCCACTGTTACCAAGTCATATAAGAGTGGTGGCCTGAAGAGGCACATATTTCAGGGCTCTCTGCAATAAGCAAACATCAAGTAAATTTTCTCTTTCTTAAAATATAGGTACCAAAAATCGTTCCATGACCTATAGTTTTGTTGCAGCCCAGGGAGGTCATTAACTCATTGGACAAATATATATTAACTGCTACCACTGTGTATAAAACACAGTCACTTGAATTACAAGAGCTCAAGTGACCAGAGAAACACCAGGTTTATTTGTTTTGTGTCACATGTCAGTCATTTCTTTGAAACTTGTTAACCTGATTATTAGCGCGTATGCACGCTGTTTCAGTGAACCAGGGTACAGCGTAGGAGCCCGTCCCCAGATCGTTCTGTGCACACGGGAACTTGCCGGATCAATCATGGCCCGTGCCTCATCCTGCATCCTGCTCTTGTCCGTCTCCTGAGACACTCTCTGCTCCTTTAGGACTCTCTGCTCTGCATCATTTAATTAGAAGTGATCACTTTTAAAATGGGTCTAAGGTCAAAATAGACTCTGCTTCCCTCATGACAGGATTAGAGACCATCTCCTCCATGTGGGGTGAGGTGACCTGAGAAAATACAATTGCCTGTTAAAATCTGTTCTACCTGTTTCATGCTTCGAAGCTGCAAAATACTTTCATGGCCAGCACCTTATGTATTCTCATAGTTGACTCGTGCAGTAAACATGCAAGTACCATTTCCCCCACACGACAGTGAGGCATCAAGGCTCCAAAGGCCTCCAGGCCTGCCCAAGTGGTGTGGCGGGGATTAGAAGCCAGTGCCTGGAGTCAGTGCAGAGAACAGTGAGGGTGTGAGGAGTGGGCCTGTGCAGCAGCTTTGTATCCAGGTAGAAAGAACAGTCATGATGGACTTGTGGGGATCCACGCAAATGTCACTGCTTGTCTAGAATCTGTGAAGATGAGCTGAGCTATGTGCAAATGGACTTCCCTATGCAAATGTTAGCACACATTTACTTTCATTTTGTGTGGCAGAGGGTCTGAAATTGTATCTTGAGTTTGCTCTCCACCAAATGCTAAACAATTCCGTTTTCCTGAAGGTGCTAATGGGGCTTTCTTTGGCATAATAACAACTTTACGATGTGATTAGTTTATATCTCACATCTGGAGAGTGTTCAGCTTGCACATCTGGGATAATTTTGCAGTTCTTTTCTTCTTTGAATTGATGTATATTGCTTTGTGTCTGAAAATTAATCCAGGCCTTTTATTTCTAGCCCACTGTTTATAAAAAGAAATTTCCTGTGGCCAGTAAGAAGGGAAACATGGACAACTTGGACATGAGCAGCTCAGCTTCCACATCTAGCAAACTCCTTTCAGCTGCACTCAAGGGAGAACTGGAGAAACCCTCTGTGACTTCAAGCCATGGAACAACAACCAAATACACTGCAAAATCCTTTGCTGTGCCTAGAACCAAAAAGAAACTCTAAGGGTCCCTCCAATGCTGAATAGCACAAAAACAGAGCTGCCCTTTCCAGTGCTACAATGAGGGGGTAGGAGGTGAAAAGGACCAGCACTACATGAGCTTTTAGCTCCACCGAGCCCTGCAGTGTGTTTGCACCACTTTAAAATTGAAGCTACTTATCTCCAACAGGATGGGTGGCGGGGCTGTGGTTGAAATCAACGCAAGATCTTTCCAGGGTTGTTTAGAGGAGCAGATACCCTCAGAGCAAGGCTGTGAGAGTCCTTGCTCAGTTTTACTTCACATTTGTAGATTTCAACACATTTATAGGGAAAATGAGAACCAAATATGGTAATGGAGTTTCCTAATAATTATGTGCACTTTGCACTAGAAGACTTTGTTAGGAAACTACTAAGAAACTTACCATAGGTATAACAGCAGAAGTGCCTCAGCCATTCACATGTGCTCTTGTGACGGTAGGTTGTATAGATTGTTTAACACAATTTAAATGTAGAAAAATAGGAGATTTTGTAACTGTTTGCCATTAACTTGCTGCTAAATTCCCAATGTACTGATTGAATCAATAAAAGACAGAAGTTACCCATGCACACTAATTTCTATGTTAAAAAGAAGTGACTATCATATGGTCCTGTAAGCCCCTGTGCAAATTATGAGCTTGGCCCACAACGGCAAAGGGAGGTACCCATCTTGGGGGAAGGTCATGCGGCTGGGTGCAGGGGAAAACACATAGTTATTCCTCTTTTTAAAAACTGATTCGAGAGAGTGAGCGAGACAAATATCAATTTGTTGTTCCACTGATTTATGCATTCATTGGTTGCTTCTTGGATGTGCCCTGACCAGAGATCAAACTCACATCCTTGGTGTATCTGGGCGATGCTCTAACCAACTGACCTACCAGGCCGGGACCCATAATCACTCTTAGTACTATGGGTTTCTTATTCTACCTGGGCAAATAATTTTGCCATTCCAAGTCAAACTGAGTGAGTGGATGCTTTGCCTAGTCTTCCAAACCAATCCTAAAGAAACAATTTGCATTGGCTTTTACCTCTATAAAGTAGTAACCTAGTTCCATTCCAGCCCTTCGTCCCCAGTAGAATTGTCATTTGGGCCTCCAAAATGACGCACACCTGGCAGGCTGAGCATATATTAGTTGCATATAAATCCACTCAGGGGCTAAAGGTAGTAGATGTGCTTCTTGTGATTAATTTGGAAGATGATGTTGTGCTTTTGAATGGGTCAAAGGTAACACTGACCTGTGTTGCCCTTGGGCTGAGTAAATCTGCCAGTATTAGTGCCTTTGATGGGCTTCCCCTGGGGGAATCTGACAGCCTAAGCATATGTAGTTTAAATTGTCTAGACTTCATTTTAAAACTGGCATTGACATAGCTTCTTCAAGGTCTTTCTCCCTTACCGATTATTACTTCGAGTCCTATCAGGTACCCGTAAACCATCTCCTGAGCTTTAAGCCTTCTCTCCAGGCTTAGTGAGCCAGTCTCTGAGAAGCATGTTCTGTTTACCTGCTGAGAAGCCCGGCCTCATTAGCTAGGTGATTTCCCTTCCCACTGGTGCTTCTGTCAGCAGAGGGGGTTGCTGCTGCTGTTCTCCTTGCAGAAAAGCCAGCCAGGACAGTGGCTTTGATTCTGCCCCTCCGCTGGGCCAGAAAGTGGAACATGCTCCATCTTCAAAATGCTCTTGACTTTTATAGCATGATACAGTCTTTTGTGTTACAGAGAATTCTGTTGTTAAATTGAGTGCTATCCAAATTTCTGTCCGCATTTCTCTTTGGTCTTAAATGAGTGAGTGATTTTGCTCACTAAGCTTGAGCAAAGGTCCAGAACTAAGTGCTCAGTGAAAGGTGAAGTCATTCTGTGACTTTTCAGTGCGTCTGTACCCTCTCCAACCCCAGCACCGGGCCAGGCCAACCATCCTTCTATCATACAGATGTGTTTGATTAACTCTCCTCTGTCTAGACCTTTATTTATTTATGTAGAACCTTTTGATAGAAACTTAGCTCACTCTTTCTAAAGGGAATTTTCATATTATTTTTATTTATTTAGTTGTATGGGACACACCTGGGCCAGGCATTTCCGAGCTTTGTTTTCCAATTGTTGTATCTCTTTAATATTTGGGGCCATATGGACTTGCTTTCTTCATTTGTTTTCGTGGCTGTGAAAAAAAGGAGCTCTTCTGTTTCAGTTTCATTTCTGGTGACCAATAGGCCAACTCCAAGGCATTAATGACCATCACTCTGACATCTGTGCACTTCAGCATGGGGGGTTGGGCCTGGGTATGACCTAGACGGACACATTATCTCTAGGACAGTACAGCACTGGTGTTACTTCCAAGGAATGCAAACACTGATCAACATTCCGACTTAAAAATAACAGGCAAGTCAAGGCAAGAGGGGTATGATAAAAGAAAACTGCAGGCTTGGGAACAGAAGATGGTATCAGAGAAGGGATTAAAGTGGAGAAGAAAGGAAAATGGGTGTGGGGTGGGGCAGAAAGACAACAAAGTGCATACAATTAAAGAACACTGATTGCATGACAACACAGGGTCCTGCCAAACCCAGACGCAGGAGGCAGAGGAGGGAAGAGCTGCTTTTTGCTCCAGACCAGTCTGCTGTAGAAGTGGCCCCTCCTGTGGCCTGTCCCCAAGCACACCCAGAGGAAGACACAGGCTGAAGGAACAAAGACCCGGGGAAATGGGAGCTGAGAAAGGCTGTGATTTTAAGAGGTGGCCAGGAAACAGCCCTTACATCTTGAGGAGGAAGGTGATGTGGTGTTGGGAGGAGGAAAGGGAAAAGAAAAAATCAAAACATTTTCTGCTTATCACCAAAATGCTTTGTTTAAATAATTCTATTTGACTCCAAAATGTAAGTTCCAGGTTAGACAAATCAAAAGCAGCAAGTCTTGAAAATGAAGCTTTTTTAAATTCCAGCCCTGCTGTTGGAATAGAGAATAAAGGCTTTGTTCAAACACGCATTCCCAGCAGTAAGCAGAGCTCTGAAATTGGCCAGGGAAGTGGTGTCCTATAAAGGCTGCACTTGGCTGGAGACCAAGAAGCTGTGGCCTCTGGGAAATGAACCGGGGCTGGATATTTTCCACCTGCCTCTCCAGAGCCACTCTGCCCTGCTTTGTCCTCTCCACTCAGAGGGGCAGCTCTCTAGGGACTGCAGCAACAGGCTCCCTTGGCCGCTGGGTTTGTTGGGATTGTCAGTGGGAGACACCACCAGCTGAGCAGAGGGGTAGGAGAGTCCCGTCCAGTCCTTGGTTCCCCAGCACCTTTGTGCTGGGCTGCTGAGAAGTCACTGCATTTTCCTGCCCTAGGATTTGGCTTCTGCTGTACTCCTCTCTCCCATGTGAGTCCCCTGCTCCTTTAGGCCTAGACCAAGGACTGTTGCCCTGGGGTACTGTGCCTGCCTTCGCAGGTTTTCCCTAAACTCACAGTGCCTTTGTACATAGCCTCTTTGTTAAACTTGCAGCTACCCCATTTGAGCTTACCATCTATTTCCTCCTGGAACCCAAAGGGATCCAGACCCGTTGCTTACCGGTTCTGCATTTTTCTTGACTTGAGCCAGTTTTGGCTGCGGTTGACAGTCTCTTCCCACACCCCAGCAAAGAGCCTAAAGGGGTTCTTCCTGAAACAAACCAATGGCATCTGAGTGGTGACTAGGGCTTGAGGGAGAGGGCATCTTGGGAGACGTTCCTGGAGTTGGTACCCAGACTGAGCAAGAGAAGTCCAATGCTGCCCAGCTGAGTCTGAAACTGTGTACAGCCAGGAGGTTTGCATTTAGCTCTTAAATTCCAGCTGTGGCCTTTGGGAACCTAAAGAAATCAACACTTGTAACAGTGAAGAGAACCCCCTGGGCTGGAGTGGGAACGGCCTCGCTGTCCCCTGGCCACGGGCCATGGGGCACGATAGAGGCTTCCAGGGAGCCTGTGGCAGCAAGAAACCCCGGCCATCGGAAGCCATCCCCCTGGGCTGTGCGTTGGTTTCATCCCTACAAGCGCTAAAATCAGCTTACAAAGCATTTTAGAGTAAATTTTTCACTATTCAATGGTTTCACCGTAGTTCAATTTTATTCTTTAGGACCCTGTCATTTTTCTGAGTGAGCTGGCATAGAATTGGTTTGATTCCTGTTCAGTATGTTGTTATTACTTAATTCTCATTGGTGAGCCTTTCTTTTTTTCTTTTCTTTTTCTTTTTTGCCTTTGTTCAGGAAGTCCATATTCAGTGTCTGCCCTGCATTTTTATGGCTGCCTTCCTCAATTGCTAGTATAATTAACTCAACTCTGTCCCCTCTCTGTTAGTTCCCACATTTCCCTAAATTACCTGGAACAGTTCTCAGCAGGAGTGTGGGGATTCCCACTGCTGCCCAGGGGCCTCACTTCAAGCAGCACCACATGCATGACCGTGGAACATTAGGAAGATTAATAGGGCCACTGCAGGTCACCACTGGCTATCTCAGAGACTTCCTGCCTCCGTTGCCTCTCGTTGCCTGGTACCACCCCAGACATCGTAGGTGGGCCCAGTGAACACAGGGTGGAGACCCCAGAGACCCTCTGCCCTGAAACATGCAGTGGTTCCTGGCCTGGCACAGAGGACGGGGCCACCAGGTGCCAGGCAGACTGCCCCCCACAGGATTGTGCAGCATCTTCAGATCATACATGTCTTTGGCATTGATATAGGGGTCACATAAATCTTTCTGTCCTTGAGGGACTGAGACACAATCTTTGACCCCCTCAGTAATCAGGCTGTGCAGATGAGAGCCTGACACCACACTGTTGTTCAGGAAAGACTTTGCTCGTCAGCACAGGAAATTGTCTCCATCCCAGGGGCAATTGCAAGGCCCTGGGAGTCAGCATTTCCAGCGCGACCCTGGGGCGAGGCAGGTGGAAGATGACCTTGTGTGGAGGTGGCAACCAATATGCTGTGGTCCAGGCATTGGTTTACACTGACTTTACTAGAAATGGAAGTCCCCTTTAAGTGGGACTTGGCGCCACA